GCCCCGGCCCCTCCCCCAGGTACCGGCCCCTCGAGGCTGCTCGGGGCTCGGTCAGAAAACCCTCCTGGCTTTTTGGTGCTTTGAGCGCACACAAGGCTATGCCGGGAACGAAGTATTTCCCCAAAGAAACTGTTCCGCTGGGCCCATTTTACAGATGGGAAAACTGAGTTTTGTTTCGTTCCACATCACCGCAGTCGGGGGACTGACTACAGGGCGCTGACCAGTCATCCTAACGCGTTGGCATCCCGAAGGGAATGACAGTTCCCAGACAAAGTCCATGTTAATCATTCCAAGCCCGCCTGGGTGATGAATCTGCTAATCACCCAGAAGACAGGAAACTTTGCAGAAGCAGGATAAAGATTTCACAACGCAAAGGGCCTTTTTGTTAGATGCAAGGTTTTTTGGTGATCTCTTTTATTGGACCAGCTGTATAGTTGGGAAGGATATTAGACAGGCTTTCGGGTACTAAGTGCCCTTCCTTGGCCCACATATAAAGGATGCTTTGGGTGTATCTACACATCACCTTATGGCAACGTAGCGACGCACTTTATCGCCATACAGCACACTGCAGCAATCACGCGGGTCTACACACGATTGCTTGCGATGTTGCTGTAGCAGCGCACACCCGTTTCTAGCGCACCACGATGGCAATGGAAGAGAGGAAATCGAAGTGTGCGCCACCCGTGTGGTGCAGTAACCACCCACACTGCGCTGTGCTTTAGTACTTCCAAAAGTACACCGAGCTGGTGCATGGGGAGCACTTCCGAAAGGAAGTACTGAAGTACGGTGACATGTAGACACGCCCTTTGTGCCCAAAAGTGGGTCTAATATTTTTCTCAACTATGCAGTTAATCCAATAAAAGAGATCACCAAAAAGAAAACCTTGTTTCTTGCATATTTCCTGGATCATAACAGCGACAGTAGCAGGCTGCCCCTTCTACATTCTTCTGCTGTCGGCTGTCCTGAGAGCACTTAGCTTAAAAAGCAAACATTGCTCTGTTGACAGGGCCCTTTTTTCTGCTTTGAAGCATGACTTGCGTAGTTTGTATGCTTACTGGATGGTGGACTGGCTACGTTTTGTCAAATACCTTGAATCTTAAGCATTATTTATTTGAGTGCTGAATCATTGTCTTGGGATGTTTCCAGGCATGACATGGCTCAACTGGGTTTTGAGGAGAATTAGTTACCAGCTGGTGGCCATTTAGTGGCCTGTATGTGACATGATATGATAGCCTTAGCATACAATGAGATTTCTTGTTGGCAGTCTCAGCAAACAGACTGAGGATTGAAGGAGACTTTGTGAGCGCAGGACCCATTTGTCCCTCAGGGTGATCCATTCACATCAAGATGGAAGCAGTAGGATAGGTAGGACTAGTGCTGATAGTGCTGCCCCTGCTTTGGGGCGGAGAACGGTGGAGCGTCCCGGGCTGAGAGGGTAGTTCCTCCAACACAACAAGCCAGCTTTTAAAAGCACAGGCCAACACTGGCCACACACACAGTGCACTTACTTCTGACAATTACAAAGCTATGGCAAAAAAAATTACTTTTCTCAAGTTTAGGGGTTATTCCCTCAGTCCTGACATATCTATAGCTGTCACAGGAGACAGTGGAAGCACTATGTGGACTGATATTATACAGGCAAGTGAAATTATAATATTAAGATGAGGTCTGACAGTCACAAACACAGTCTTGCTGAGATAATTTGACCCCAGCTGACTTCCTCCCCTTGGGGCAGGGGGCTGGACCCGATGATCTTGCGAGGTCCCTTCCAGTCCTAATGTCTGTGAAATCTATGAAAATGTGCAACATGGCACTCCCTCTAGACTGTTTGCCACAGTCACTTGAAATAAGTGTGCATGTGTATTTATGGCAAAGCCAGCATTCAGCCATGTCCTTCCACTCTGCAGCTGGTGATCATCTGAACAGTCGCATTGCTTATCACCATCAACACATGTACAATGTCTGTAGATAGGAAGTTCATTAGTGTTATTGGACTGGCTTGAAGTTTCGAAACAGCTGAAGAATGACAGGGGAAAAAAACAAGAGTGGTTTGCTTGAAAAGGCTCAGAGAGATGTACGTGTTTTTAAAAAATCCACATCAGAAAATTCTAAGAATTACTCTGCATCCTGTTACACAATTTTCAAGGCTATACAGTTAAAAATTGGCACGTGTGCATGTGATTATTTTTGGAGAAAACTATATTGGGTGAATAATTCATCATGAATTATTTGTTTGACGGGACTGACTTTCTTCTTTCTCTTCATTTATGAATTGTTCACAAAAAGACTGAATTTCTCAAATTAATTTATTATTCAGGCTCACTTGGATAGTTTTGTCAACAGATGCCATTTGCTAATTGTAGATATTTGCACTAGGTAAATTGCATGTGTGCACGTGTGCTATTGTTTCTTTACTCTGTGATTTTAATTAAACATTAAGCACAAAACAGGAATGTAATAACTGCGTGTGCAATTTGAATTTGCAAATATTCTTACCAGCACTGAATGTTTGTGGAAAAGAGCTTGAGTACACAACGTATATGGTCAAATTAAATTTTGCTCTTTGATTCAAAGGAACATTCACAAATCCGTTTTCTTTCACTCTTGTTTTTACAAATTATCCATAATATATCAGGTTAATGTTCTTGTGTATGTAATAACTGAATTGCAAATTAAAACAAAAAGGTTGGAACATTTTCTGCTCCTAAAAGATGATGAAGTTATCACATTCTGAAATAATAAAAGAAAGGATCTAATTTTTTTAATTTTCCTTCTATCATCTCTAATCAGTAGGTGAATTTTAATCTTCCTCCATGTGAAGAATTAATAGGTTTAGTCTAGACGCTACAGGTACTCTGGGGACATGCTTGCACTGAGTCCTATTCACATCAGCTCTTTCATTTACAGCTGGAGAGTGGGGAAATCTAAACTAAGCTGATTTTCCTTTTGCACTTGTTTTGTCTTATTTCCAGCCCCCCATTATTTAATAAATAAGCCATTTCTATAAGCCATTTGCATCTACTGTGCTGGTTTTATGTATTTATTCAAAATAAGCTTTTTTTTTTAAACTGTCTCCTACATTTTCCTTCAGTTTCTCCTCCTAGCCTAGTTGGAGACTAAAAAAGGGCATGGAGCTGAACTATGCAGATGTACCCAATGGATGCTATCCCAGACCCTGAAAAGGAGTGCTGACTTTGGGGCATCTGGTACGCAAAGATACAGGCCTGTGTCTATCTGCAGGAAACATGCCTGTGTCACAGCTTGCTTAGCATTATGTCACTTGCTTGGATGCACAGCCATGGCAAGGGTCCCTTGAGAATACTGTGCAGTGGGTTGCAATGGGAGCAGGAGGTTGGTTTCCTCTGTATTGTTGCGGCAGATTCCACTGAGCCTCTTTTTAGCCACGTTCATCTTGGGAAGCAGTGATGTACCTGTGTTGTAAGTGGGATATGGTAGCTAACTTGTACAAATATTCAGCTAGGTAGGATTTCAAAAGTGCCTGAGAAGGTTAGGAGCTGCTGCAGTCTCATTAACTCCCATTCTTAGGGGCCTAGATCCACAAAGGAATAGGTTTTGCAATGCTAGGCTTTGCATCACTAACTCCCAGACTCCCTGCCACCCAGCGGGATTCAGGGGCCTGAGCTAGGGCCCCAGGCTTCCTAATACATGGGGAGAGTCAGGTACTTCGGGATGGGGTTCCACAAAAGTCAGCACCACTCAGAGTGGGTCTGCCTGAGCCAGTCACCGGGAAAAACCATCATAAGAGCCTGATCAGGGCACTGAAGGAATTTAGGCAACAGCTGATGTTGTGTGTATTGTTGTGCTGGCTGTGGCTATCAACTTAACATAAGATCTCTTTACCTTCTGGTGTGTAACTTGTAACAGACATGGGCAACTTCAGCTTTAAGTTATCAACTTTCAGAACATTTTAATGGAGAATATGCAGGATGTCTGGAGAAAGAGGTTGCTTGTCCCATTCAGAACATCAGGCAGTTGTTCTTCGGGAACACAGATGGTACTGGTGTTTCCAGACAGTTGCATTTCAGCCACATTTTTGCCCAGGATTTGCAACTTTGTATTGATGCATAGGGGGCCAGGGAGCAACCTACTATCAGTCAATCTGTGGAGTCCCCATTGAAGTCACTGGAAATTTTGCTTCTGACGCAAAGGTGAGATGGGAGATTTTGCAACCAGCCTAGAGCTGATCAGACATTTTTCAGCATAACAAAGTTGCATTGACAAATGCCGTGTCACTGAGCCAGAAGGTTTTGCTTGAAACATCTCCGATCTGGTGAACTGTAGCTGAATTTAAAGCAGAGTCCCAAGCAAATCTTTAGTTTCTTGGAATTCTGTCCCAAGATCAGGGACTTTGGAAGCATTGCATCCCTGGGCACAGGGTGGATGTGCCTGAAATCTAGACAGGGTTTGCTTGGAACCCAACACTGGTGGTAGCTAAAGTTAATCAAATCCAAGAGTTTTAGGAGTATTTCAGGTCCAGTTGCGCTGGAAGGGGCACTGGGAGATTCAACCTATATTGGTTTCCAGGTGATTTAGACCAAAATTAAGTGACACCCTCCCTCCACAGCCCTTGAAATTTTCCATGAGCTGGGAACTCCAGATTTTGGACTGCTGTAAAAGAGACCTCTGTTCACAAACAGCTAATGATTTGTCCTGAATTTTGTTGCATCTCTAACCAGAGCAGTCTTAACAGAATAGAGCAGCATACCTTTGATATTCACATCTGAAGCCTTATTGTTTCTGAATGGACAGAGCATTATTCCACAGAGTTGCATCATTCATTGACAAATAAGTAAACTTTTCCTCCTTGCCTGCTTGCTGCCATGTATGTCTGACCTTACATCACATACAAAGTTCTTGGGACGTATTACAAGTCCATGCAGACACGCTGATGAGGGGATCAGCAAAATGTAAATGTTGGATACTCCCTTTGCAGTTTGAGTGACAGCATCATCAGTATAAAAAGGAAATTACTCTAGTGGGTATAGCTGATACTGCAGTCAAGAGAGGTCTTGTTCCAGTGACTGAGCGTGGAGGAACTGGAATAGGCTCTTGCTCCTGAACTTTCTAGTCTGCACAATGCGTGAAATTGTGCATCTTCAGATTGGCCAATGTGGAAACCAAGTTGGATCTAAGGTGAGGCTTGTTTCCAAGTAATTGTCATTAGTGGCAACTGCTGCCAATACAGGCAGCATTATAGTGATTATATACGGACTGAAGGAAGGGGAGGAAGAGCATGACATTATTCCTAAGAAATGTACAGCATGGGAAGTGACTGTGTGTGTAAAGGATATTACTACTTTACAAAATTATGCAAACCTGTGCAGGAATTACTATATGCTAGTACTGCAAAGTTATCATGACAATGTTCCAGTCTAGGTATAATCTATTACCCTGGTCTACACTCAATATAATACATAATCATGAAAGATAATGATGTTTTACTTGTCATCAAAAGAATAACTTAGCCTGGAAAAATGAGTGAGCGGTATTTTCTCCAACTGGCACAAAATGTAGTGGGAATTTAAATTTTAGAACCCCCCTGATAAGTGGCAATTAAATATATTTTTTATATTTGCATAACTTAGAAACACCTGCACAGAGTTATTACCAAATCAGTTAAGGTTTGACACATGATACCGGTAAATTGGATCAACTCATTTAGAAAGATACATACCTAGACACAGATATATACTTCTATCTTCACAAAGGATGTGTGGCACAGTGCATGACCTGATATAAGACATCTAATTGTGAGTAGGTCACAAGTCCCAAATACTGAGCATGAACACCTGGATGGAAATTTTCATGATAATTACCAGTAACTATCCATTCCCATGGGCACCACAGAGCCTTGCCATTGCTTGTGACCAAAACTTATTTCCTTGTGTACAAATACAAATAATATTAAAAAGTCTGTATCATCAGTTGTGATGGAGATGGTCATTTTTATTGTGCACTTAGGCTATAGGAGAATTGTTTTGTTTTGTTTTGTTTTGTTTTGTTTTGTTTTGTTTTTTTCTGTGTGACTTTCCCAGGAATTTTTCCTCTCTAGTCTGGATCTGTCAAAAATAATTTGGAACAATTAAATACAAAAGATCTCTAGCAGTAGATTGAGAAAATAAATGAGTTCATGCTGTGTTTCTTGTTCACTCAAAGTTCCTGTTGACTGCTCTCGCTTGAGATGTAGACTGTAAGTGAACAAGGATTACAAGGTTGGCCCCAGAGGAAATATTGTCCGGAAGCCAATGTGGCTTTTAAAAGGCTTGTACAGTTTACACTTTCTCTCCTGTTAGCTTAGGAGCTTTTCTCTGTAAGCTGCTGCTCTCCAAAGTGCTCACCTGGTATAATTTCCCAGCTGTCAGCACTGGGAACACTGTATTTTTAAACTTAAAATTAAGTCCTGCTAAGGGAAGGAGACCTTTAAAATTAAAATAGCTTGCTCATTACAGTGGGAGGGTGTGACTGCAGTAATACTCCTGCAATGAACTGCCTAGATAAGAAATTGTAGGGCTGGATGTAAAAATGGGAGTCTAGATAAGCATTTTGTTTTTCTGTATGTTCCTGCTGTATAAATAATGCATCTGAGTATGTTGCCTTTTGCGTGACTCTTGCAAGGGAAGTCACGATCCAAAAGCAAAACTTTGGGTCCAAACACTGTCAAATGTTTGGAGTTTTACTACTAATGCTTTATTGCTAACCATTGAATATGATGCAGTAAGAGCAACTAAGCAGAAAAGAATGAAAGTGCAATTTTGACATCTTGACTGCTTCTTCTGCCTGCATAGAGACTTCAGGATTTCTGTGCTAGATGTTGACTAGAGCAGCCCTGATTTTCAGAAAAGGCTAAACCACACATGGTTACCTGGTGTGTATGTAAACGCAGTGACTGCACCTTTACATATCTAACTGGTTATGCTTCAGTGGCACTGAGCGATGCCTTCTATACCTAATAAAAAGCAATCCCCACAGGTAGCCCTGTCTGAGTCTGAATTGCTTCCCCAAAGACCTGCTAGTGCAGGCCAATCTCAAAAAGCCACAGTGTTGTCCAAAATTTATAATGGACGAATTGAGTCCTTTGCTGTTTTACTGGTAGCAGGTGATAATTTAAACAAATGGTCTTTTTAACTGTTTGTGTGGTGGGTGTTGTTTTAGTTTCTCCCCAGGTTGCAGTGTTTAAAAGTGGAAATGAAAAAGGATTTAGGATCATTGGAAAGTAGGTCATCCAGTCTAGGCACCTCCTCCCTCTTCCCCCTCCCCACCCCTTCCTCAAGGCTGGATCGTCCCTGACTAAACCAACCTAGCCAAGTGTCAGTCTAAACTACTCCCACAAATTTCCAAAGATGGAGACCTCACAACTTTTCTAGGTATCTTGTGTCAATGCTTGGCCACCTCCTTCATAGTCAGGAAGTTCCTCCAAATCTCCAACCTAAATTTCCCCTCCTGAAACTTGAGGCCATTGTTTCTAGCTCTGTTCCCTATGACCACAGGTAAAAACCCATTTCCATTTTGTCTGTAATCATCCTTCAGGTATTTGAACACTGTTTTCAAATCCTACCTCAGTCTTCTCTTCTCGAAACTAAATAACTCTAGTTCATTTAGCCTTTTCCCATAAGTCCTGCCTCTCAGGCACTAATCATTTTTGTTGCTCTGAACTGGACTCTTTTCAACCTGT